TCCTGCCTCTACAGAGGGCATGGAAATAAATGCAAATAGTAAAAGACCCAAGTGCAAAATATTGCAAAAATTAGGAAAAAGAGATCATTGAAGTTGGATAGTGGTAAAAAAGAACAGCAACTCAAGGGGGTTAGTTTTGAAATGCACTTTGGGGAACCACAGGGGACTGGAGCCTGCACTCCATGTAGCTTGGGACTAAGGATCTGAATCAAGTGAGGGCAGGCGGCAGGACGGCTTGGGCTTGGGCCATCCTGAGCCAACCTCTGGTTGGCGAGCTCTTCTACAGCAGAGACTTCAAGGCTGCCTTTGTTATGAAGCCCTGACTCTCCTCTTGAGCCTGCAGAAGCCCAGAGAGCAGTGAAAAGCAGGATGCACCCTGGCATCTCTGCCTTCATTCTATATCAGTCTCCTTTATTACCTTAAACTTTGGTTCTGATCCCTGCTCAGCCCCACACATAGGCACGTTAATTGCTAAGGAGTATCTGTCCAAAAACTAGTACTACAAGGCTGATAAGCCCTAACCCTAACCTATCTCATCCCCCTTCAAGACTGAGGACACCAAGAGAAGAACCAAGGTATTTTCAAGATTTGCAGGAACTTTCAATTGCCAACTTTTACAGTGTCTAATTCCAGACCTGCTGGAGCAGTGTTTAGACATCTCCATTGCCCTAACATGCCCTAAAACTAAACATGCCCTAAACCTAAACTTGCCTTAAACCTGCAGTCGCCTTGGATTGCAGAGTTTCACAGAGAGATCACCCCATAAAGGAACTGAAGTTGCCCCCTAAGCAAGAGCAAGCACCTTACAGGAACCAGATTGCTCCCAAGGGATAGGAATTCTCAGGAGCCACCTGGAAGAACCAAAAGTGATTTAATGATCAACAGGCCATAGTTTGACCAAGCCTATTTATGCCTATGTCTTACCCCTGCCTCATTTCTCCCTCTATTTAAACCTAAAGCGTGTATCAGTGTTCCCTATGATAGGGCTAAGGAGTTGATTCCCCTTGTCTTACCAATATAGCTACATTGATTAACATCTTTTCTTATCTCATCATTACTTTTTCCATTTAACTTTTGGGGCCAAGTAGCCAGACATGATTTATTGGAATCCCAGACTCAGGCCTTTGGCCTAGGGCAACATTAACCCCAACATTAACATTAATCTCGGGGAGAAGTTTTAGATAATCAGGTGTTTCTGAGTGTTCACCCTCAGCTCTGCTAGACTGAGCAGATTAAACAGGAGTTACCCAAAGCATTTAGTATCTCTAGAATTCAAGTTCTCCCGAGTGTCTGAGACCACCATGGCAAGTGGGAGAGGAAGGGTGACAGAACCACAAAATGAAAAGCTTCCTTTTTATACTAAAAATGTTAACAAAATAAACCTGAGCTGCAGGTGACTTGGAGAGTTATTCCTTTAGGACAGATAACATGTCCTTGCCTGGGCTGCATTTCTCTTTACCTTGATTCTATTTACTCCCTATAGTAGACATGCTCTTAACTTTTAAATGTATATGTATGGTGCTTAATTTAAAAAAATATTTTCAACATACATTGACTTCTCTGAGTTCTTGCACAACTCTGAAGGCAGGATTTATTTTTATCAACTTCAGTTTGCAATATTCACACTAGGAATCAAGAGAAGACGGGATCAGCCCCGAATCTCACATGGGGCAAGGAGACCAACTTCAGTTCAGTCTCTAATCCTAGAGTCCTAGGGTTCACGGGTTTTATCTGGAGGCAAGATAGTGCCCAGAGTATTACTCAGCCATAAAGAATGAGAAACTAGAGACATTTATAGCTAAGTGGATGCACATTGAGGCCATACTCTTAAGTGAAATAAATAGGATACACATGTGTAAATACCAAATAGTTTCTCTGGTGTGAAAAACTAAAAGTGTAAATAAGGATCAAAATGTATAATTGATATTGTGAAATAGGAAGAAAAGGTCTAAAAGAGTAGGGAAAGTGGGAGGGGTAGGAGAAAGGAAAGAAGGGAAAAGAAAAAAATATGAGAAAAGGAAAAAAATGGAAACAAAGTCTTTGTAAATAGAGAAGGGTGGAGGGGGTGAAGGGAAGGCAGGGGAATGGGGAAAAAATAAGATCCAAGATACATCACGTAGAGGTACAAGATCCCAATGATGAATATAACTGTATTGTATACCTAAAATGTACCAATAAACTTAATGAGGGGAAAAAAAAAGATAGGGCTCATAAAAGCAGATCCAAAACCAGCAAGATGCAGCTACAGGGACAACATTGCTGAATTGACAATAGGAGTTGTCTACTGAGCTGCTCCTGGTGTGGGACAGTGGGTATATTCATAATGAGCAGAAATCCCACAAAATCAGTCAGGCCCTGCAATGCCCGGTGAGGTTTCCCCACAAAAGGAAGGTTACCATCTTCAGCTCGCTCCCTGATGTTAATTTTACTTCAACTATGTTGCTTTTTCTTGTTTTAGGATTCTCAGCCCTGGGAATTTCTCTTCGGGATGTAGTTCAAAAGGAAGAAAAGGTCACATTAATGAGGATGTAAACATAGCGTTACCTATAACAACAAATATTGGAAAAATTTAATGTCCAATTAGATGGCAGTAAGTCACAGTAAGTCAATTTGATAGAATATTGTGCAGCAATGAAAGCAGTGAGTATTATAATCATGTCGCAAGGTGAAAAATACCGTAATATTAAGTATTAAAAGAATTAAAATATGCTGGCTACAGATTGGTAAAAATGTGGGGTTTTTTATGGTCAAAGACCAGAAAAATAAGATAATAGGTTATGCGTAAATCTTTGTAGACAATGTATTTTAAATTTCCTTATCATGAATAAAAATCTTATAAGAAACAAGAAATAATAAGTAGCTTACTCAACATTAACTAAACTGCTCTGTGTGTGTGTGTGTGTGTGTGTGTGTGTGTGTTTCTCTGGGGTGTTCGTTGATACTTATTATGTTGATTTAAAGCCAAGAGTTATAGGGTCAATACTCAAAATTACTCGCCGGATAATTTTCACTAAGCTGCTCAACCTCTGCACTCATAAATTCACCCATCTGTTGGAAGAGCTCTTATGGTCGGAGTTCCACAAGTGCTTCTTGAGTGAGGGAATAAATGGACAGAGCTCTTGTGCCTGGGAAGATGACTCTGGTTCCAATGGACTCACGAGTGGTCTGTCCTGCAGCCATAGTGAGGGATGGCAAGGTATTTTTCTGGGCTGTCCTTCCTGCTGGCATCTCTCATAACTTCTTTTCTACCATAGGAAGGAGCGGCATGATGTTTAAAAGCACCTCTAAAATGGGACCAAACCCTGGCTGCACAAAACTCCAAAGGGGCATGAAGGGAAGATTTCCCAACTTCTCTGTCCCTTACCTTAACATGTCCTTTATCAAAGATATTGGGTAAAGAATACATTTCATATTTAAATGTATTCCTAGCCACTTCCTCTGTGTTCTGTTGCTGCTAGAAATGGGTCATTTCTTGTCTCTACCTTGTGATTATTTTTTGCACAGCCTGTAAATTTGGGCCTGTCAATTGTGTGAAAGCTTTCCTGTTCACTTAGTCTTCCCATCTCACAATGACATTCCCTGTGAACATTAAGGTGTGTCTCTTCCTTCCCAAATGGTGACCCTCAGACATTTTTTGTGCCTCACTAACCCAGGCTGTGTCCCCAGTGATATGTTTTCCCTGATGTTAGTGGCACTCTTGTCTTGTTCCTCCATCCAGTTAATGCTGTTTTAAATTTCCCCAACCAAGAGGTCTGTAGTACAATCTCTCATGGTTTTCTGATTTGTTGATAACTGAAAATAAACACATACAAAATTTTAAAGCAAGGCTTTATTACAAATGTTCTGTGTGATGTAAGTAATCATACAATAAATCATCCTGTAACAGAAAGAAAAGATGCATAAACCTGATACATTTTCCTATCATCTACACTCCAGAAGACAAAAATCCTTAAGGAGCACTGTGGTTTGGATATCACTTAATTTTGTGTTAGAAAAGTAAACTTAATGAAGCAATAAATTACATGACAAAATCCAAAGATTAGATAAGGTGAGGATATTAGAAATAAAAGTAGGATTTTATATACAAACATGCTTTGACTAATGCGTATATAGTTGCTTTCTCTACAGAATAGACTTTCTGGTACACAGATGTTTTCTGAATAATATTGATTACATGAGGATCTTCAGGAAAATCTGCCCGGTGTCGGGCTGTGGGTGGTTGTACTGAGATGACTTCTAGGGTCATGGGAACAGGTGGGACAGGACAGTAGTGGGGTTGGTGGATTGCTGCAGCCTGCCTGAACCCAGACTACACAGTGGGGCAGGCCTGGAGGATGGGAAGCCTAGGCTGCCCGAGGTCCACTTTCCCTCACTCTCTGGACAGGATTCTTAGGTGGTCATGCACTTTAAACAGGGTGAACAAAGTAGTTCCATGGCTCACAGTCTCAGCAGGACATTAAAGACACTTTAGGAAGAGCACTAATTAGGGTAGCTCCCTGTGCCTGGGTGTTTACTCTCACTCCCCCTCTTCCCAGCTCTGAGCCTTGGGCAAGGGATTAGCCTTCCCACAGCTCAGGAGTACCATCTGCTGATGTCACCTCTCTAGGATGATATATGGATTAAAGGGCGTCACCATAGTGAGGGGCTCAGCATGGAACAAATGGAACTTGAACTTGTTCTAGGGTGAGGAAGCCATCCTTACTGCAGAGGAAGACAACTCACCATCATCACATACTAATTTGATTTGGAGAAGGGCAATTCAATCTTAAAATTCCAGCATGTTGGAAAAACTAGCTTGTCAGTGATAGAGTGGCCAGGTGATGGCCAGCATCCCAGCAAGATGGGCATGTAATATGTCACCTCCTTGCTCTTGCCAGGACACTGTGAAATCTCACTCTAGGTCACCATTTTCAATATGTACTTTTGCTATGCTCATAGCTGTCTCCATAACAGTTTTAACTTTTATTGTTTTGCTTTTAATTCTAAATACTTCTTTTGCATTTTTTTATGTTGTTGTCCTGGCAAAAACGGTCCTGTATAATGGCTGGGAATACATGGTCTCAGATCCCTACTTTGAGGAGAGTTGTCATGAGAAGGTGGCATGGCTACAGGAAGCCCTGGCCTTAGCAGCCTTCCTGATGACACTCCAAAACCAAGCAACAATGGGGGTGAGGTACAGCATGAGGCTGAAGCATCACTCTCTTGCCTGACCTCAAATTTGACCACAAGTCACAACAAGGAAGTAGATACTCTGTCCCCTGGAGGGACCAATGGGGCCTCATCTGGGGCACACTCAGGTAATTATTAAAGTCTGGAATTTTCAGACACTTGATGATCTCACAGAATAATTTCACAGTGGTATCTGACTAATACAAAAGACTTGGGCTAGTGACTATTAAATGTCTGGTGCCCAGGAGGCTATTCAAAAACACATACCAAAGTAGGAATTTGTTACCTGCAATATGGTCAATTGTGACTTTCTTCAAGTACTGCTTCACTGGAATTAGTTCTAGCATTTAAAGATTCCAGGTGTCACATGACTAGTTCATAGTACTTTTTAAAGGCACAATTATAAATAATTTAAGAATTTGGTCCATTATTGAAAAATCAAGTCTGGCAAACAAATTAATTATGCTTATTATTCAAATATGCAGTGTGTTTTCTAAAATGCAGTGTGTTCATGTGTTGAGCTTTTGCTTTGTTGCCTGTGCCCTGGCCACATGCTGAAGTAGAAGCTTCTGCTTGACTTAGGACAGAGGTATCATGCAGCACAGAAGGCTGAGCAAAGCATCGGCCACCTTCTGGAAATGATCATGTGACCAGGAAATGACAAAAAGAGTCACCTGTCCATGGATCACAATGGTGGCAGGAAGATCACCATCCCTGCAATATAAATGAGAACAGAAGCACAGAAAGGCCAATTACCCAGTTCAACTTCCCAGACTGCAGGTAGCTGCAGGCTCAGCACTCCAGAAATTTGAGTTGGTCTCTAGCTCACATGTCAGTGATGGAAGTCAGTGTTCAGACAAAGACCTCCCAGAGACTGCAGTGCTGCCCAACCCATCACTGGGAGGATGAAAAATAACACACAATCGATTAAACAAGCTGGGGAGTTGGGGCTGAACAAAATCGAGTGGGCTTCTTCAAGTAGCTTCCACAGACAGGCATGCTAATGTGCACAGAGGTCTCCACGAAGTAGTTATGGTGCACAGCAGTTACCTAATGTTTGCAGAGCACTCCTAGGGCCACTTGGGAAAGTGAGCCTGAGGGCACAGCTTGCTTGACAGCCATCGCAGCAGGAGTCCCCAGAGCCAGAAGAGCAGCCTAGCAGGACCTGCAAGGCCACTAGGGACCACTGCTTGGACTTTGGAATCTGTGCAGCATATTGAATCCAGCTGGCCACTGGAACTGGGGTCCGCATTGTCACTGCCTGGAAGCAATGGAAATAGTTTCAGCAGGAGGAAGAGGCTCACAGGTATGGCTGTCTCCTGACTCATCATTGTCCACACCCTCCATCCTCTTCGCCAGTGACTTTCAGAATGTCCCCACAACCTTGGCTCCTTGCTGTAGGTGCAGTCATTGCCATAAAAGCCCAGCTGGATGCTCAAGGCAGGGAGTCCAGTGCTGTATGAAGCATCCTTTGGAAGCTTCCTGTGAATTTCCCAGGACAGCAGTCAGGCACAGGAGCAGGGAGGTAGAGGCTGTCACCCCAGACTCCAGGGCTCACTGACTCTTGTTCTCACAGGAAAGCAGCAGGTGTGCAACCCTGGTCTTAAATTTGGTTTCCTTTCCACTGGATCTTGATCCAGGAACTATTTTAGTTGCAGCAGAAAGCAAAACGGTGCTGGGAAAAGAGATATTGTTCCAGCAGATTTCACTCCAAACTGGGGGCTGAGAGAAAAATGCTCCCTCAAATGACATGGGAAAGGAACTTCTGAGTGACATTTAGAAGGAAAGTCAGCAAATTTCACTCTCAATATCCCAATTTCCATATTCCTCATCCATTCATGTGAATAAAAAGGGCCCCCTTTCTGCTGGGAGACTCATGTCTCTGTGGCTAAGCTAGACATATCAGTGACACGGGGAGTCCATCCTTATGGACCACCTCCTTTCCTAGCCCCCTCAGGGCTGTACTTCCCAGGATGCAGCTGCTGTGCTGGGGGCACCAGCTTCTCCTCCTCCCGCCTCCTTTGCTGGCTGGAGCTGCAGGAGCATGGCCTGCAGCGTCTCCTTCACCATCTGGAGCTGCCCCTTGAGAGACTGTGGGTGCCGTTAAGGAAGAGTGGGAGGGGACCCTGTCTCCACAGCCTCCCAGGGAGCCAGGAGAGCAAGAAGCGTGCCTGCCGGGAGCAGATGGGCTCTGCTGTCTAATTGCAGTTCCAAGTTCTCCCAAATTGTACGAATTAAATATTGATACAAAATTTACACTTCTTTTAAGAGTGATTGCAATTTCTACAAGGCCTGGGGTCATTAACTATCTCAAGTACGTTTTTCAAAATGCAGAAGGAAGAATCAGCTCCCAGGCTTAGACAGATGGGTAACTCAGATGCTTAGTGATATGCAGTTCGGTTAGTGTGACCATAATGCCGCTAAGCCCTGAGCTGGGATGGGAGGCTGACAGACCCCACTGTTCTGAATGTGGAAATCCAAACCTCCTCAACAAAGCAGGACTTAGGGCCACTGTAACTATGGAGAGCACATTGGAAAGCTTACATCATGAATTGTGGACCACTTACCATCTGGTCATCTGGTGCGAGCTCCTTTAAACCTAGTTTTCTCATGAAATGTCAACTTCAAAACCTTAGCTCTAAGCCATTGTCCTCAATCAGTATGCTCTAAGTACCAGTACGGTGACTCAGGATTTGATGGTGGGCAAGAAATCTATCTTTTCTGAGTCAACTGGTTGGAGTCTCCTTAAACTGGTAGGAACTTAATTTTCTGACTTGTAAAGGTGTTTCTCACATAGAGAAAACAGTCACAAAGAACTCAGCAAATAGTAAAGTAAGACAGTTAAGGCTGTTCTCATAAGAAACAGATTTTCCTCTGGGCATTCACACAGGGGAACATTCAGCCAACAGTGGTTTTAGTCAGATCTTAGGCCCCTTCCATTTTTATCTGTCCTCAGAACAACCCTAAGACAAACGCAGGATAAGGGATGGGTCTAACAGGCAAACTAATCTGGATACAGGAAGGGGGATGTGTTCATACTACTTAAACATGCTCAAATCATCACAGGAGCTCAGCCCACTCAAATATTCTAGGTCAGACACAGAGGAAGCAAAGGTTTGGGAAAGGCAGTATGCAGAGATCTGACTGCTCACGGGCTACCTGCTCTGCGATGTTCTACCTAAGCTCAACGTCACCATCATGTCAAGGGAAAATGACACCCTTATGATGTGACTGTAGAAAGCTTTCCCCATCTGTTTTGAACAAGGAACTCCAGGGGATCCTGGGGATTATGCAAATGAGCCTCTCCCAAGCACAAATTCTGAACTACCCTGAGAAGCTCTGGGCAGCTTTTCAGCCCCTTGAAGTTCACTAGACTCATCATTTGTGTAATCTACACACATTTACTGTGCTGGTTCACTGATTGTACTTGAACTTGAGGGCAATGAAAGTGGGGTAGGGAGTACAAGAGGAAGAATTTAATATTTCCCCTCCTTTTCTCCCTCCCTTCCCTCCCTGACTCCCTCCCTTCCTAAGGAAGTTTTGTTCTCCATTTCTCTGGACAGATCTACTAATCTTTACTGAAAATACATACAACTTCATATCAGCAAAAAGCGTAAATGGTCCCAGATGGAATACCACACAGCAACTTATCACAAAGTCTGCACATTTATAGAGTGAGCACAGAGCTCAGGTGGTATATGAATGCTGACAAACTCCTGGGACTTAATTACCTTTGATACGAAGCCTGGAACTACACATCACTATTTGTAATCTGCTAAGTGATGACAAAAGTTTTTAGAGAAAGAAATTAAACCAATATGTGTTGTTTCTTAAAATAAAACTCAGAGAACTTCTAATACTGGTGTATGAAACTGAAAAGGTTAATGGGAAAGAGAAGCTGAAAAAGAAAGAGGCTAAGTTATATAATTAATACATTACCCCCCCCACACACACGTTAATCTCCACTAACACATCTGGGAGTAAAAGAAAAGGGGGGGTTTGATGATATAAATCCCCAGCGAAGCTGGCCAATTCATTTCATGCTTAACTGTCCCACTTGTGAACTATAGACTTGTACCTTCTTCACAGAATTAAGGCTTTTAAATATTTTTTTCTTGTGAGGGTATAATGCCTTTTGCTCACTATGCAGCATCATGAGACTTAAGGTTTATTTCTTAACACAACAGATATAACAAATGTCTTAGGCTCTGACAGAGCAAGGCTAAACATAAGAAATCCTGAAAACCTCATCTAGCGAGTTTATGAGGTAATAATCATTAAAATAATTAAAATCAGTTTTATTTTCAAAATCTCTCTCTAACCAATACCTCATATGATTTCTTTCTTTTTTTTTTTTTTTACCCATATGATTTCTTACAAAATGGAAATTCTAAAATATTTTGGATGATTTGAACAGTCTGGACTAAAACAGAGCAGGAAAAAAAATTCAAGTTGTGAAAAATTTTATTGAATAATCCCAATTTTACAAAAGAGTATAGCAGTAGGGGCCGGAGATTTAACTCAGTGGTTCCAGTGCCTGCCTCGCAAGCACAAGGTCCCGAGCTCAATCCCTGTTTCCAAAAAAAAAAAAAAAGTACAGTGTAGCAGTAAGCCATCTATAACTAGTAAGCTATTTTAGGACACAGAGCTGACATGCAGATAGTGGCACTGGGAGGGAGATATGGGTTTTTTTACTTTTCATAGGTCTGTGATATTCACAATGAACATAGATTACTTTCACATTTAAATCAATACGTTATAAAAGAAACTACTTAGCAGCCAAGATCTTGAGGCTACTAAGCAGTAGACTACGAAGGGCTAGAATCCAATTTAGTTTGTCTGTCCTAGGATGCCAGGCTCCCAGTGGGGCAGAATCACAGGGTGTCTGGAGTAGAGGGGCCTCACCACTCTCACTGCTGTGCCCAGGAGGATGGGCTGCAGGTGACAGGACAGGCACAAGAGGCTAGTAAGGAGGTGCTGCAGTCATCCCAGAGAGGACCATCATGGCCTGGACAGGGCAGTGGCTGTGAGGTGACAGCAGTGGCCAGATTAGACATGTTCTGAGAATGCAGCCAAGAACATGTGGCAACATCCTGGATTTGGGGTGTGGACAATGGAAAGGGCAAGAATGACTCCCTGATTCTCCATCTGAACAAAAAACTGGGAACGTGTGTTGAGAAAAGAGAACACTGAGCATGAGTGTGTGAGTGTGTGTGTGTGTGTTTGGGGGGCATTGAGAGGGGCTCAATAGGAGACATGGGACACTGGAAAAGACTCTTGGCCAGCCACAGGAGATGCCAAGTAAGAAACAAACCCTGTTGGTGTTCAGAGAGTGATCAAGGCTAGTGATGTGCACTTGGAGGTCACAATTGAGCCATATACAGTACATTTTTTAAATATTGGCTAATTCAACAAGCTCATAGTTGAAGCCCTCTGACATATTTGACTATGATTTCTATCAAAGGTCCTTCTCCCAGCTCTTCAGATCTAGGAGCAGAAAACATTTCCAAGCAGGTAAAGCAATCCCCCAAAACTCCTATTTTGTCCTTCACACTGCCACTGGAAAGTTGAACCAGGCAAGAGTCCTTCAGGGGCTGTGGTGTTTATGTATGAGCCTGTTGTATTGTCATAACATTTTCTCACTGATTTGCAGTAAAATAACCTATCCCATTTGATACATTGAACCAAGATCTTTAGGCTACTAAGCAGTAGGGTAGGGCTAGAATCTTAGGGAGGGATGGAGGGATTGAAGGGAGGGCAGGGAAAGGGGGAAAAAATAAGAACCAAGAGAGATTATGTAAAGGTTCAAATTTCCAATGATGACTGTCATTATATTGTATACCTAAAATGTACCAATAAAATTAATTTTAAAAAAAGAATCTGATTTTCTGATCGCTAATCCAACAAGCTTATAGTTGAAGCCCACTGACATATTTGACCTTAATTTTTTTTCACAGGGCTGAATGAAGTACAATTCTAGTGTTGGAGTCTTAGATGTCTGTAATAAAGGACTCTTTGCCTCTAAGAAAGTACAAGAAGAGTCCCAAAGGGCTGATGAATCTCATGTGCCCTAGAACCTGGACTAAGTTCAAAGCCCCCTGACAGGTGTGCCAGCAGACACCTGTGATATCTAAGGAAATTCACACATTAATTATAGCAATGGCATGGGGCTTGACAACCCAATAGAACACAAGGCCCTTCTTTACCCCAGCTTGGGATAGGCTACCCACTTACTTGGCAAATGTGTAACCTGTTGAAATGTTAGTACTGAAGAACAGTAAGGGAGTTTGGCTGCAAGGCACCCAGAAATGCAGTGGTGACCTGTGGCTATCTTTGGAGAAGACCTGGGAATTCTTTCAATGGAGGCTTTGTCTTCATATGAAAGTAACTGAATATTTTACTGTCAATGGACTTTCCTAATGATCACTCTTTTTGTTGTTGCACTGGGGATAGAACCCAGGGCTGCCTGGATGTGACACAGTGCTCTACCACTGAGCTCTGACTGTAGCCTAACTCCCTTTTTAAATTTTGAGACAGGGTCTTGCTAAGTTGCCCAGGTTTGCCCTGGATTCCAGGTGTTCATTCTGATGGCTCAGTTAAAAGTAGTTCTTCTGGTCCTCTGATCTAGTTTGGTTCAAAAGGAGACAAGGGTATGTAGTCTTTGAAACTGCTTCTCATTTATTACATTATTTCTTTTTAACAACATGCTTTCCTCTGTAGTTACTACAGCCTACAGGACTGGGAAACATACCCAAATGGAAAAGCCAGAGGCCAGGATCAGTAATTCTAAGCAAGGAGGGAAGTCTGGCCCACTCTGAGGACCCAGGTCAAAGAACTTAATAGGTGCATAGGGGGCTCTGTATTGTCTACCTTATGTCAAGACCACCATGTTGCCCTAAGCTAGCAGTGGACAGCCATTTCTACACCCTCTGCCATTGCAGTCTGCTCCAAACTTTCCACCTAGGTGGAAGCCAAAGGGAAGCTCTGTGGTCGCCACACTGCATCCACCCAGGATGCCCAGTGCTTTAAAGAACAGCTTTACTGGTATCACTTTTCTGATCTGTAAGGTTCTGAGAGAAGCTCCAGTTCCTCTTAGTCCTCTCCTAGCTCTTTAGCTCTGGGGCAGAAAACATTTCCAAGGAGGCAGGAATAATTTTCCCCAAACTCCTACTACCTTTATCCCTTCAGCCTACACTTTTGAAAGTTGAACCAGACAAGAGCCCTTCAGGGCCTGGGGTGTTTATGCATGAGCCTGGATGTATTTAGAGTCTTTGCATGCATCAAGCTCACCAAAACTAATCAATTGGGCGCCACGCATTCCAAATGAGCAGAGAGAATAGAATTCCTTAAGGGCTTCCCGGACACGGATGTAAATACAACTGCAAATAGAATCAGTCTGTCCCCACCTCATCTGTGACTACAGCCGGGCAGAACTGCCCTGGGGCTTTGAAATATGCCCCAAATGTGCAAATCCCAGGTGTCTTTCTTTTCCTTTGATGGTGAGTGGCCTGCAGAAGATGAAGGAGAAGGAGATGTGAAAATCCCTGCTTAAAAATCCTCCTAAACCTAGCAGGTTTTTACTTAATACATCTTGAACAGAGAGGAACCATTACGCATTCAAATGGTTTTTCAAAATGTAACTGCTAATTAGGACCCACAATGACTATGAAATTGTACTCCAGGCTCAAGACTCCCACTCCTGGAGCCCACTTCCTGGCTGTGAAATTGCACCTCCAGTCCCTTCCAGGCTCCTGCGTGAGCCCCTCCTGCAGCCTGCTCTCCCAATTAGTGGCACAGACCCTTCCCGGACACCTACCCTGCAGCAGCTGACTGGCTGGCACTCTCATTTGGTTGTGCTACGTGTAATTTAGCAGGCTTGTCAGGGTGATGAAGAGATGTGGCCCATCCCCCACCCCAGATTTGTTAATCCAGCATCTTTGTAAAAAGACTCCCAGCAGGCTGCCAGTAATGTGACTTTAAACAGGATGCCAGGAGGTCCTGTTTGGAAACTCCCCGGTACTGCCTGTCCATCTGGGGTGCCACCAGCTACATGCACATATACACATGGCTTATACAGATGCTCTGTGCCCCTGCTGGGAGAATGGACACAGTGGCCTCACAGACATGTTGTCCATGGTGGGCCTACACTGACCATGTTCTATGTGGGCTTGGATTAATCTCGCTGCACCCATTGCCCATGCACATGGGACTCCAGCAGTGAGTTTAATGGCACCAACAATATAGTACACTCACTATGTGGCTCTTCTGCATTTAGGTAACAAGCTGCTTCTTTCAACCGCTCTCAGCACTAAATCTGTGATCAAAAATGAACAGACAAACCAGACAGAGTCTGGTGGGAAGATTCTGGCAGTCCTTTTGAACCTTGAGATAAACTCTAATCTTAAACAATGGCTTTGTTTGTTAGGGAGCCCCACAGAGCCGGGTAAATATGAGGCACAATGTCCCCCTCAAATCCAAGTGCCACTTTGCATAGTTTAAAGATGCCTTTGTGTGTTTATTCTCAATCACCGATGCAGACACAGCCCGAGCTCCTAAGGAAAGTCCGGGTTGAAATCCATACTGTGGAATGGACTGTATTTGAGGAGGGCAAGGGGCTGGCTTTGGTCTTTGTACCAGTGGTTTGAGAGCCCTCAAGTTTGACATTTCCTCATTTATCTCAGCAAGGATCGACAAAATTCCCAAAAGGCAGGGGGACTTCAATATTTATTATAGCTTTGAGGGCAGGATACTGGAGATTGAACCCAGTGACTTCACACTGAACTACATGCCCAGTCCTTATTTTTATTTTGAGATAGTTGCTGAGTTGCCTGGGCTGTATTTATAATCCTCCTGCCTCAGATAATCTGAGTGCTGGGATTACAGGTGTACACTACCACACCTGGATCTATACCTTAAAATTTAAAGTGACTGTCTTTTCTACAAAATAGACCTATCCCTGCACTTACAGGCATAGCTGCCTCCTGATGGGCCACATGTAGCCAGGGTCTGGGAGGTTCTGCACCGTTAGAGATGATCTCGGACCTGCTGAGTTCTAACCCTCCATTTTCCTGACTGTAAAGCAGGGACAGGAATCTCTACCTGCTTATAGCAGTTTTATAAGAAGTAAATGACTTCTCATATAAGCCATCGTGTAGCTACTAACTCCTTCAAGCATTTATTACAAGGGGATTGAATCCACCTACCTTGAAACTGTCTATATGCAAACAGGATGCTGTGTGACATTGGGACAAAGAGGCTGAGAACAGTGAGACCAATGAACGGCCTTGTACACCAAGACCTTGCTGCAGGTGAGGACTATGTTAAACACAGGGTGCACATACAGCCTTGCTTAACTCTATAACATCTCTTAGAGGTGCGTGCAACTATCCCAATGCTGCAAATGAGGAGGCTGATGCTTCATCACTTGTCCCTGATCCCATTCTACTGAACCTGGCTCAGGCTGTCTGTAGAAAACCCACAGGGTCCCCGTGAAACACTGCTCAGCCCCTGTTCAGCCTCCTCTCCTGACCCCAGGCCTGGTAAGGGGAAGACAACTCCCTAGAAGCAAATTAATCTTCTAGAAAAGTTCAAAACAAGAGACCAGCACAGTCCCTGGCTGCAGCACTCACAACAGCTCCTGGGCCCTCCTAGGCCAAGGTGCCTCCTGCTCAGGACTCTCACATGCCTGGCAGGGGCAGACCCTGTACAGGCCTTGGCTCCCTGAAGCAGGTGGCCTTCATGTGTCTAGAAGCAGCTGCTGAAGATTAATGGACACCACGGCCCCTTAGGAGAGCTCAAATCTTTGACCTCTGAGCATGTGAACTGCAAAAGATGCCATTTTTCTTTCTGCTACTTCTGAGGCAACTTTCCACTAAGAGCTTAAACACTGGTTTCGTAAGAGGCAGAAATTAGAAGGGACAGAAATTTCTAAAACTGTACCTTGAACAATGTGAAAATAATTGCTGATTAAGTTGAAGAAATATCCTGCTAAGTTTAATAAGCAAGGTCAAAAATTTAAAGTTTAAACAAGAAAGGAAATAATGTTCAATTCATCATTAAACCATGTATCTGAATACTTTTGATTAAGATTAACCCTTAACCATTCAAAACTACTTACACATACACAGATAAAGGATGCTAAGAACTGGAACTCTAGTAAGGTCAAAATGAGAAGCAAAAGCCCAAGTAAATGTCCCACAAACACATCTAATAGAAGTCATGCCAGTGAACAGAATGATGAATGAACAGGGAAGTGGTTTTAGCTAGAAAATACCAACTTGTCATTTAATGACCAAAGAGATAGAAGACAGGTCTACCTATCCCTTTATCCATATGCATACCCATCCATCTCTTCTTAGGAGAACTCACCAATGCCACAACCTCTACAGGTCACCTGGGCTGCAGTGTCTCACATGGATATACCTGCCTGAGATGCTTCCTATCACCCCACTCACTGCAGCCAGTTTTGACATAGGTGTTTGTGGAGTTGAGCCCAAGGACACTGAGCGTGGTGCAAGAAAATCCTGTCATTAAAAATAAAAAAGGACTGGGTTGAGATTCATTGTGCATATGTGGTTAGACACTGAAGAGGAATGATCCAAATAGCCATTAGCTTTGATGCTCTACTGCCCATTATATGGCAGAATTGTATGATGAAGAAATCTAAGTAGAGATTTCAGTTTCTTTGTATTTTTAAAGCCCTTCAGAAGCTGAGCCAGTCAAATGCTTCAGTTCTAATGATATCCCAAAGGCCACACAGACCCAGTTTCATACTCACTGAAACTCCATTTTGCTTTGGTTTCATTGTGTGTATGTCTGAACTTTGTGGTTACCTTTTAGTGATCAACTTTAATAATCAAAATACTGAATTGCCTGAAAACTAGAGTGAAAACGTTGCATACTGGAAAATCTCACCGTAATTTGTTTCCATCTGCTGAGGCATGTGGAAATGGAGTAATTTTTAAGATTTTTCTTTTGCAAAATAACCTTGCAGGTGCCTAATCTGCAAGATGAAAAGGATATGAATGAGGTCTTCATCATGACTATGGATCGCTGTGTGAAGCTGATCTTCTAGATGCAGTAACTTCTTGTCTATGGCTTCGCATTTTTCTCCAAGTTCTGCAGAAAGGACGTAAGATTCCTGGCCAGAGAAAAAGAAAGAGATTGCATGTAAGCTGTAGAATTTTTAGGGCTATGAGCACAGACAGGACACATACACACACACACACACACACACAAAACTTCCCAGAAACACTCTCTCAGCTTCTGCACTCTAGCTGGAATCACATTGGAACCTCTGTCTCCCCAGGAAGTTGTTCTTCAAAAAACAAGAGTCAAGTTTGAGTTGTTACTGAATGATGAGCTATGTCTACATAGTTCCACAATTCCCCCATTATCCAGTCATTTTTAAGTAGGACACCCAGTCCATCAGCTCCCAGAATGGTCCATCAGCTTCCCATCAAAGGGAAGCCAGAACTTTCCAGCTGCATTCATGGCAAGCCAGTAATATAGTAAGTACCCTAACAAAAGAGGTGGGGCAGCATGCCACAGGAGCACCTAGGCTAACCTATAAGGACAAACGGATAGTCCTTTGAAGGCCCAGGAACCTGACACGGCACCAAGCTTTTGTCTGCTTGCTGGCCGCAGACAAAACCAGACTGTGAAAGAGACTTTACATCCTATGGGTATATATAGGATTATGTAACTGTCACCAATAGCCCTCACTGGTGCTCAGGCCACATATGAGTAGGGATGGCAATGTCTTGCTCGCTACCAGATCCTACCTCCCACTCCCACTTCCTGGCTCCAGACTCCTCTGCTGTTTCCGCTCCAAACACACCTCCCCACAATGAGTCAGAAAGGGTCTGCTTCTGCTGATGCGTGAGGACTGCCCTTCAGCTTTATCTCCTTGACCTCTGCCACCTGGCCCATGCCTCTCATGGCTTCCCTCACTGCTCCTCCTATGATGTGCCCTTCTCCATCTTTCTCTGAATGTGCCCTCCTTCCTTCAAGGCCCCACATGGCAATCCCACCTTGTGTGGCATCAGTTCTGATATAGTCCCTCAAGTGACTGTGAACTCCCTTGGGACAAGGACCAGGGCCAGGTGTTTGTTCCAGGGCCCCACATAGAATAGCTAGCATATAAAAGGCTATGGATTCTTAATAAATTAGAATAAACAAGGCCAAGAAAACAAAGAAAGAAAACAAGGAAACTTAGAAGGAAGAAGCAAAAAACGCAAGAAATGAGTTCAGAATTAAAACTTGACCAAATGTAAAGGAAGTATTTTTTCCAGTAGTGAAAAGCTGAGTCTACTATAAGAATTTTGCATAAGGAAAAGAATTAAAGTCTGCTTTCAAATTAAGCTGCAGGATTACTACAAAAGCTACAGCTAATGCCCAACAATAATCAAAATGCCCAGGTGTGGTAATGCTGTTAGAAGTCCTTAGATAACATGCATAATAAAATATTATACTCAGAGTCTATGAATAACAATTAAACCCAGATAGGTACTTTGACATTTGCTCTATTCACTTTGGAATGCTTTAAAGTTTAAATCCCAAATGGTCAACTATGTTAAAACAGTGCTAATGGGAACTATAAATAACTACTGTAAATATTAGAGAGGTCTCATACAATGCGAGTAACTGCAGACAAAAGACAAGAAACCAAGTGACAATGTTGAAGACACATGGATTCAATTAAGCAAGCTTTATAAAAAAATTTTTAAAAAAAGAAACATACAATTAAGCAAGCTTTCATGTGAAGGGCAAGTGAAGGTTTACTCAGAATTGACCACAACTGCGATGAGAAGATGGTAAACACATAAAAGTCATAGATACATATATATTTTACTGATCCTACAAGTAATAACATCCTCATTCATAGATGTTGAATGAATAGGGGAGAAATGACATAGAAGTGGAGACAATGGGCAAAGACTAACCCCACAGTCACACACACAAAATTGATGAGACACTAAGAAAAGGAACATCTGGAAAAAGGTGATTGACAGCAGGGAACCATGAGTCATACACAAAGGAAAAAAAATAGAGTACTTATGGGAAAATATATGTGACTGAGAGCACACTTAAAGGGAGAAAAACCATAACATCAGATCAGAAAACCAGGAACTGAAACATTCTTAAATAACATCAAATGACTGGATCTTCATCTTAAGGCTACAACAAATGTGAAGGTAAAGCTAAATTAAACATATATAAAATGTGGCTTTACATGTCCCCCCAAACATAGAGTCTGCTTTGTTTTGAAAATTGTGTGTAGATTGATGGTGATGGAGTAAGCTTTGGAAAGCAGTCTCACACCATGCAGCAAGCATTTTACATTGTTCCTATCCTATGGCCCAGTAATTCCATTTCCTAGAATCTATTAAAAAGAAATAATTTACATATTTAAATTTAAATAAGTTGTATTAAGTCTCTGTATAATAAGCATGAAAAACATCATATATTTGTGCATATATATATATATATATATATATATATACATGTGCCAAATTGAAATGTAAGAGTTTAATCATGCAAAGATAATGGCAGTAGAAGCATGGGGAAGGGGAAATAACTGTCTAACAATAAAGAAAATGATGAGAATAATGTTTGGTATATTAGATTTGTGTTTATCTTTTAAACTTTTTAAAAAATTTTTTGAGACAAGGTCTTCCTAAGGTAGTTCAGGCTGGACTTGAATTCACTATGTAGCCCAGGCTGGCCTCCAACTCTAAGGGATCCTCCTGCCCTAGCCTCCTAAGTGCTGGGAATGCAGGCATGTACCACCACGCCCAGCAAAATAATTTTTAATCTAAGAATATTTAATGATGAGAAAATACTCAAAGAGGCAAAGCACTGAAATATTCACAATTATTTCAAGGAGTGATATTATTAAAGATTTTATTTTCTTCTGTATATGTTCTTAAATTTTCCACATTTCTAAAATAATGAAAGAAAATAATTACTGAAAATATTAATTTAAACTATAATGGAAAAGTATGGAAGAAATACAACTAAATAATATTTTAGTTTCTTAAAAACGTAGCAGGGGCAGAGGAGGCTTCTTGGCTGCCTTACCTCCACTCCCAGAGCAGAGGAGGCTTCCAGGCCGTTGTAGCACCGCTACCAGCGCAGAGGAGGTGAGCTGTGCGGGCACCAGCAGCACCCCCCCACACACACACACACCCTGTCGAAATGAGAAGACAGAAAAACAAGTCTCAAAACTAGACTTCCGGATCACCTACAGCAACCCCAAAGGGAAACAAGACGGAACACTCTGACACTCAACCACCTGGAATCCCTGAATAGGCAACAAAAGAGGATTTGGAAAAAATGAAATCGGAAATAATTTCTCAGGTTACAGCAGAGATTGTGCCATAGTGCAAGACATGATTTATAAATCTAGAGCAGAGCTCAAGAACATGAGGGAATCCCAACATAGGAAACAAATGGAATCCATAAAACAGATACAAACAGATTTCCAGAAGATCAAAAACTCCATTGAAAGTCTACACAGCAGAATGAGCCAATGTTAGGACAGAATTTTGATACAGAAGATAAGATTGTAATTAGTGACCAGGAAAAGAAAAACTGCTTTAAAATT